GCAATGTCAGCAAGAATACCCAAGCAGGAGGTGGAGACGGAGGTGACTTTGCATACAAGGCTCCGCTGACTGAGGTCCCGATTATATTATAAACCGTTTTGAACATTTCCAAAATTAGGAACGTTTACCGGAAGGTAAAATGATAATTTACTCAAAAAGGATACTCACTTTATTCCAATGAGGAAGAAGGTCCTGGTAGTGGAAATTGACTAGGTGGGGGAGGGGAACCCAACACCACCACATTTGAAGCATCTCTCACAGATAGATGAAGATAGCTGTCTTTGAAAGTTTTTGAAGATCTCCAAAAGCCCATTTCCTTGATCTGACTGAGACTCGTATGCCACAGAAAGGCCACAGACCCTGCATATTTCCTAGTGGCATGTGCCAAAAATTTCTTGCCAGGGTCTGCTTGATTCACTAATTGAGATAAGGATTTTGTCAATTGACTAGGAGATAATTTCTTACCATCCCTTGATGAGAAAACATAGGGGCCTCTATTAGGGAATCTGGTTAACCATTCCTGAAGATTTTTAACTGGACACAATATGAGGAACCCTTGTTTCATCCATTAGATGTTTTATCCTAATAGGTTGAGCTTGGAAATCTTCCCTTTCATTTTTTCTTAGGATCTCCATAGGAAAAAGGATAATATCCTATTCAGAAAATACCAATAATGATGGATTACTGGAAATTGAAATCCGTTCACTGATTCTCATTCCCGTTGCTATTGCTAGAAGGAAAGCTGCCTTCTGGAGTAATTTATCCCTGTTCAGATTTATATTGTAATTAGGCCCCATAAGAAGATTAGTAACTTTTTCCAGAGACCAAGGCGGGATTCTCTTGGGTCGAGGAGGTCTCTGAATGAAAAAGGACGATCTTATCATTTGATAAATCCTTGGGCTCAAAGTAATATTAAAACCCCAAGCCAGAGGGTCAACCAACGCTGATTTATAAGATGCAATTGTCTATCATTGAAGGCCTTTAACTCTGAACAGAAATTCTAAAAATTCTAACACAACTGTTCCACTTTTTCAGACACAATACTACGTTGTAGTAAAAATAAATTCTTAATTTTATGATGGTATGCACACACAATTAATAATTAAGAGTAATATCAATAATATTAGGTTTTTTAACACTTACATTAGTAGAAAAGATGGCTGGGCACACTGGGATGGGGTGTTGGTTCCGAGGCAGAGGGCAGATTATTGGCCTTCACCTGCATCACTTGTATCAATTGTATCAATATCCACCACAGAGGCTTGCAGGGCCTCTTTGTCAAACCCCTCAAAGTCCATATAAGTCCATATCCCCACTATCACTGACTTGGGCCGGCTGTGGTGGGTGGCGGGTGAAGAACTCGGTAATGTTTTGATGACTGGGCGACCTTGTGCTCACCCTGCCCTCGCTGCTTCGTGAGTAAAAGAGTACATGTACCGCGTAAAGTGAGCATTCCGGGTCTGGCAGGGTACCGCATGAACGTGGAAACGCGTAAAAAAACAAACGTGTAAAGCGGGGAAATACTGTATAGTGATTTAAGGGCGATTTAGGGGAATTTTTGGAGTGTTTCTGACTTTATGCATTTTTGGCTTTACTTTGTATGTACTTTTTTGTGAGCTGGACCAATTACCCAATATCCCATTGAAATAATGGATTCGGTTAACGAACGAATCTGTGGAACAAATTGTGCTCATTAACCGAGGGACCACTGTATATATTTTTTTTTTACATTAATTTTACTACAGCTACAACCAGGTTCTTATTTTCTTCATTTTCTCATATAGAACTATCGTCCCGGACTCCCGGCTGTAAACACTAACGAAAACAATGGCCTCCCACCTCTTGTGTGACCATATTAATATTAATTTATATTGTACAGTTGGTCCTCACATTAAGCGGTCCCGCATTCCGCGTTTCACCGTTAACGCGGTGCCTTGCCAGAACCTAACATTCTCACATTCCGCGGTCGCGAACGCCATTACGCGGAGTGTCCGGCGCGACGCTATTTTTAGATTTTACCCACGCTCCACCCGCCTGCCCACCTGCCTGCCTCTCCCTCCTCCTCCCTCCTCCTCCCTCCGCTTGGGCAAGCGGCGTGGTAAGGTTGCGCAGTGTGTCTTTGTTGCGTTATCACTGACGTCATATGACGTACAAGACCTGTGATTGGCCATGCATCCCTATCCTCCTCTGCTGCTAGCTGTAATTGGCTTAAAGTATTATGACGTGTCCACCCGGGGGAGGGAGGGAGGGAGGAAAGACGACGCTTGACCTAGCCGCGACAGTTTCATCCCTCAAGGCCACTCCGTGTTAACGCGCATCCATTGTTCCGTAAAATGGCTTCCGCCGGACCACAACCCCCAGAGGAAAACCTTTCCTTACCTGGACCCAGCGGCACTAAGCCAAAGAAGACACGACGTTCCTTAAGCTACGAGGTGAAGTACCAAATTATTCAAGATTTGGAGAAAGGAACACGGCAAGTTGATCTCGCGCGCCAGCATGGCGTCAACGAATCTACGATTTGCACGATCAAGAAGGATGCAGCCAAGATCAAAGAGCACATGAAAATCACAAAGTCTGCAGGTGCTTCTATGATCAAGTATTTTCACAACCAGGTGCTTCTCAAGACAGAAAAATTACTTGTGAGGTACTTGGTGCGTCAGGCGTGACGGAACATGGCGGTCGACACGCGCTCTGTGAAGGACTACGCACGTGAACTGTACATGGCAGTGGCACGAAAGATGGGAATTACAGAGCCCAAACCCTTTACTGCTTCCTCTGTGTGGTTACAGAGGTTTAAGATCCGGAACAAGATCACCAATATAAACATTGGTGGTGAAGAAGCGAGTGCTGATCGTGCTGCGGCTCGGGAATTTCCTCCGTTTTTACGTGAGATTATGGAGGAAGGACAGTACAGTGACGACCAGGTGTTTAACATGGACGAATCTGGTCTTTTCTGGAGAAAACTACCTTCCAAGTCCTACATTGTGAAGAATGCCAGCAGGATTCGGGGCCGGAAAATGCAGAAGGAACGCATCACCGTCCTGTTTGCCACCAATGCCTCCGGTACCTGTAAGCTCAAGTTATCGGTGATCCACACAGCACGCAAGCCGCACGCCTACAAGAGCATGGACATGACCAAGCTAAATGTCCACTGGCTGACAGCACGTAAGGCATGGATGTTCTCTACACTGTCCCTCTCCTGGTTTGATGACTGTTTTGTTCCCGATGTAAAGAAATTCTGTGAGCAACAGAATGTCCCATTTAATATTTTGTTACTGCTGGACAACGCACCAGGACACTCGCCCCTACTGTTAGATCGTCACCCCAACGTAAAAGTGGTCTTCCTTCCTCCCAACACTACGTCTATATTACAGCCCATGGACCAGGAGTTGATTTGCAATGTGAAAGCTGCATTCTCAACAAAAAAATTCCAGCTCCTGAACGACTACACCAACACCAGGGAAGAGTTGCGTGACCTGAGTGACACCACCACCGATAGCAAGAGCGACGAAGATGAGGAACAACGGTTAGAACAGCAAAAAATACTCTTCAAACAATTCTGGAGAGTATTTAACATCAAGAAAGCTGTGGACATCTTGGTGGAGTCATGGGATCAGCTGTCTATTGCTACAATTCGTCACGCATGGAGACATGTGTTGCATGGAATACCAGGTGAGAGGAGGAGTCAATCTGTGACTGGTGAGGTTCAGAATGTTGCAGTAGCAGTGGACCTTGCCAGAGAAGCTGCGCAGACTGTTACAGTTCCAGGCTTCTCCGAGACCACCAACGACGACATCCTGGAGGTGATCAGAGATCCTGAAGTGACTGCCGACGAGATGATGGAAGAAGAACACGTCAGTGAAGAGGAGGAAGAAGGTGCGTCAGTCTCCGAAGAACACAATTTAAGTCATAGTGATATTAAGGGTGCCATGGAGTGTGCAGAGAAGATGAAGTCCTTCCTTTCCCGCGACAATGACGATGACCGCTATGAAGTCTTCCATAACCGGCTGGTGCAGGCTATGGAGCCGTACATCAAGGTGTATCACGACAACATCAACGCCAGCCGTCAGCAAAGCATAACAGATTTCTTCACCCGCAACCCACCACAGCCAGCCCAAGCCAGTGATAGTGACAGTGAAGTTGACTTTGAGGGATTTGTCAGGGAAGCCCTGACAACTGTAAGTGACAGTGATGATGATTCACCTAGTAATGGTGATTCACCTGAGGGCCAGTAATCTGCCCTCTGCCTCGGAACCAGCCTCCATCCCCGTATGCCGACCCATCTCTTCTACTACCGTAAGTGTTACACAAAATTTTTAGTTTTTTAACCTATTCTTTATTTTTCCTATGTTAACCTTTATCTTTCCTAACCTAACCTCTTCTATATTACTTGTTTTTTCATACCATCATAAAGTTAAGATAAAATTTTTACTACAACATTGTTGTGTGTCGTCAAAAAGTGGAGTTTGGGGATCGGCCTGGACCTCCATTTCAATTAATCCCATATGTTATGTTGTTCACTTTACGCGTTCCTCACTTTCCGCGGGACCCTCCGGGTTACATTAACCGCGTAATGTGAGGACCAACTGTATAAGGTGCATTCAGAAACATTATTTAAAGAATATAGTTTTCAATTTTCATTAATTGTATTGTCTTGGGGGGAAAAGAGGGTAAAAAGCCACACAAAAGATATGAAAATGTCACACTTGGGAATGCATCTCGTTATTATTGCTTTATTTTAATGGTAATTAATGATTCGCGATATGATGATTCACCTTACACTGCAATATTGGAGGACACATTACCATCGTTATTTGAGGCTTTACTGGAGTGTGGTAATTTAAGTTTTCATTTAACAAAAGCTAATTAATTGTTGTAATGTCTTTTTTTATGCTAGTTTCATCCCATACACTGTGGAAGGAACGGAACTTTGTTGATAGATGGACAAGTATCTCTCACTTTATGTAGGAATATATTACACCTATTTTAAATGTTGCCAGGCCGTGAATACTGCGCTTCATCAGAGTCCAGACGACATGGCATCACTGACTGTGGTGATGCGGGCAGTGGGACGAGTCAGCTCAGAGCATGCCCATCTTCACACAGCTTTACTCGATGTACGTCAGATGTTCCATACCCTTCATATTTATGGGATTGAGGTAGGAATTATCTGTGATTTGTATTTTATGAAAATAAGTATAAAAAGGTTAAGATTCATGAAGTGAAGCATAATGTTCTAGAGTTTAACTATGAACTTATTTTCTTCTTTAGTTAAATTTTTTCCACCTAAAAAATTTGCTGCCATAGGTAACCATCTTCTTTGCACAGCCTACAGTAGTGTTTGTTGTTGCTCTTCAACATGCACCAGCCTTGACTGCATATACAATCTCTCCTCGACTTATGACGCGGTTCCGTCCCGACGACCAGGTGGTAAGTCAAAAATGCGAAAGTAATACATAGAAATTCTAAAATGGGTGTCACTTTTTCTTCTCAGCACCACAAGAACTTTCACTTTTACGCTTGCCAGCCATTTTAAAGGGAATTACAAACAAAAATTTTGTCAGCAAACAGCGCGATCACTAATGTCGGAACTAGAAAATACTCCTCCTAAGTCGAGGAGTACCTGTACTGTATATCATGATAAAGTAAGCTTTACATTGCTCGCTGTAAATAATAATTTTCCATTGCATACCTGCATTCGGGTTTATTACCAAGGAACAGTACCATGAGTCATGGTATTATTCCTGGAGAATGATCCTGAATGGTCAACAATAATATTCTTGTAGTAGAACATTGCATTAAATTATGACATTTGATTGAAAATATAAATTAAATCTCTCTAGAATGAGCTATAAAATTAGGCATCCAATATAAAAGACAAATGTAAAAATCAGTGGAGCAAAATCATGAGCAACAAGTGGCTGCCTGAAACTTGAGTTTCGTGCTTACATTTTTGTTACTGTATTCACCACCAGACAGTCACCAAGGTGCTGGGTGCGTGTGATTCAAATTATAAAAACTAATGGAAAATTTACAGAAAATCCTACGATGTACGGTAACCTATTACCTACTAATGAAAAAAAAACCTCTAAACTTGTTTTCTCACTATATCTAATGGCCCTGACTCCTAGAGCTAAAGGTTCTTACACCTATATTAAAGATATGGTCAACTTTTGTGGGGAGCCCCTAAATGTGGGGGGCCCAGAGGATTTTCCCCATGTACTGTCCCCTTCACTAGTGCGTTTGCAGAAGCTCATCAGGTTTTGTTCAGTGTGGCAGCCATGTTTTTGTTTGCATTCAGCAGAAGGAAACTCACAATAGTAATCATACAATGGAATCAAACTAAAACAATATTAAAACAAATATCTCAATATAATGATTTGTGGAATGTTTATATGACGAGCCCCTGTAAATGCACCCCCTTTTGTACTTAGTGTCCCTGGTTTATGCAACTGTGAAGGAGGTTAATGGTTGTGTCAGCCATACTGCTACCATGTGTACAGCATGTTGTATCTGTACTTCTCCAAATGAAGAATCCTGGTCCGTGGAACCCACCTTCACTTCTTTCCTATTGTCGGGTTATTCAGATAAATATGGTTGTTTGTCTTTGTAATTGAAATAATCAGTGATTAATTTCTCTTGAATGCAGAGTAACATCATTTGACAATCTACTTAACACATGAAAATGCTGGATGGTCCAGCAGTTTTACCTTCTGTATATATCATGATAGTGTACCAGGGGCAACTGGTGAACCAACTGAAAATGATTTTATAAAATGCATACTGTAGCTTTTAGTAATACTACTACTTACTACTTTGCTGTCACTCGGAATTGAGTATGACTATCATCCAGCTATAATACAATGGTATGAGTTATTAAGAATGTCACCTATGTTGGTGAGTTCTGAGGTGACTAAAGAGGCCGATACGGGACTTGCAGTGTTGATCACAGATGCTGCACATGTGGAGGGCTACATCTAGTGCGGGAGGGGCAGCGACAGCGTCTTTCCATCATTGGCGCTTGTCTGCCTCACCATGCAGTCGGGCTAGCTCAAAAGCATTGACACCTGGTGTGGAGTATCCGTCTCTCAGGTGAGGGGGTCGAGTTGGCACTTTTTCAGGTTTGTCTTAAGACTATCCTTATACCTTTTCAGTTGCCCTCCATAGTTACCTTTTCTATTCGTTAGGTGACTATAAGGTAGCTGCTATAGCAGTCTACTGTTGTCCATGTGGGTAACATGGCCTGTCAAGTGTAGTTGTTCATGGATAATGGTAGCCTCGATGCTTCTACAGTTGGTGTCAGCAAGAATACTGGCATTTGTTCTCTTGTCTTCCCAGCAAACTCGAAGGATGGAACGTAAACAACGTTGGTGAAAGTTTTCAAGTGCCTTGAGGTGCCTCCTGTATGTGACCCATGTCTCATTGCCATATAGCAGGGTGGGGAGGACCACTGCTCGATATACGTGTAACTTTGTAGATAATTTCAGCTCCCTACAGCTGAAGGCACAGTTTCGGAGTTTACCAAAGGCTTGAGATGCACATCTGATACGATGCTGAATCTCTTCATCGATGTCCGTGTTGGTGGACAGGTGGAAGCCAAGATACAGAAAGTGGGTAACATTAGAGAGGATAGTAGTGTTAAGCTGGATGGATGGTGAAAGTGTGTCTGAACCAGGGGCAGGCTGAAAGAAAATCTGAGTCTTACATACATTCACCTCAAGGCCGAAGTGTGCATACACTTCTGCGTAGGTGTTCAGGGTCTTCTTTAGGTTGCGTTCAGTGTGAACGACAAGTGGTGAGGTCATCTGCATATTGAAGTTCAGTAATGGAAACTGCCGACACCTTTGTTCTTGCCTCGAGTCGTCTTATGTTGAAAAGACCCTTCATCCGGTACTCGATGTCCACCCTGCCGGCTAACTTGGCACTGGCACGAGAAAGGAAGGTAGCCAAGAAAATAAAAAAGAGAATTGGTGCCAGTACACACCCTTGTTTAACCTCGATTTGGATGGGAAAGAACTCAGACTGGGTGCCATTGTGCAGGACACTGCCGTTCATGCCATGGAGTTGCCTCACAATGGCGATGAATTTTGGTGGGTAACCAAAACGGCTGAGGGTCCACCAGAGGGCTTCTCTGTTGACCGAATCGAAGGCCTTGGTTAGGTCAATGAAAGCCAGGTACAGGTCACGACGCTGTTCTCTGCACTTTTTCTATATCTGATGGGCAGCAAAAATCAAGTCAGTGGTGCCACGTGATGGTCTAAAGCCACATTAAGATTCAGGGAGGAAGTTTTCCGCCTCAGGAAGAAGTCTGTTAAGGAGAACGCGGGCGATAATCTTGCCAGCTACGGTGTGCAGCGAGATCCCACGGTAGTTGACATAGTCTGACCGGTCTCCCTTGTTCTTGTAAATATTGACAATGGAAGCATCTTTAAGAGCTTAGGAGATTTCTTCCTTTTCCCATATATTATCCAGGAGAGAGTAGAAACGGCTGGTGAGCAGAGGTCCTCCTGCTTTACACACCTCAGCTGGGATTCCATCAGGCCCTGAGGCTTTGTTATTTTTCATCTGTTTGATGGCAGTAGCTACCTCATCCAGGGATGGAGGATAGCTGAGGTGGTTCAGCTCTGGATGCTGAGGGACCTGCTGAGTAGTCAGGACATCCACATCGGTGTTTTGGTTAAGCAGTGAACGGTAGTGCTCTTTCCTGCGCTAAAGGATGCCTTCATCGTCTTCAATTAGGGAGTTACCATCAGATGAGTGTAGGGGAGCTGCACCATGAGTGATTGGCCCATATAATGTTTTAGTGGAATTGAAAAATTCACGCATCTTGTGCTTATCTGCAAATTTTTGTGCTTCACATGCTTTATTTTTAAACCAGTCATTCTTTAGATTGCGAAGTTCCCGCTGAGCTGCCGCTTTCTTCTTGCGGAAGGCATCAGCTTTGGTTCGAGACTAAGAATTGTTTTACCAGTCAGTTAAAGCAGAACATTTATCATCGACGAGTACATTGATTGCCGGGTCATTTTCATCAAACCAGTTCTAGTGTATTTTTTTATCTGGCCGAGGGTCTCTCTGCAGGTTTTAATCATGACAGTGTCGAGAAAATCCCATTCGGCTCTGGGATTTGGGTTGTTTGTCAGCCCATGTTCGAGCTGGATCCTCCAGATGGTTAGTGTTAAAACTTCTACTAGAGGCTTGCTGCCTTTGCCATTTTGGGGCGACATGAAGTGAGAGTTTGGCTCTGACAAGCCGATGATCAGTGTCCCAGTAGTCTGAGCCATGCATGGCTCGGGTGATGACAACATCTCGGCGATCTCTTTCTCTAACAATGATGTAGTCAATGAGATGCCAGTGTTTGGATCGTGGGTGTTGCCACTAACCCTTGAACTTGTCGGCCTACCTAAACAAGGTATTGGTGATAGTGAGGTTGTGTGCAGCACACTTGCTGAGGAGGTGTTGGCTGTTGGGATTACACTTGCCTAGTCCATTTCTCCCTATGGTTCTCTGCCAACTCTGTCATTGAAGTCACCGGGGAGCACAACCTTATCTTCTCTGGGGATAGAGGTTAGCACTCTGTCGAGGTCAGCGTAAAAGGCCTCCTTGATGTCATCCTCTGCATCCAGTGTTAGGGCATATGCATTGATGAAGAAGGCATGACGTGAGTGATTCAGTGGGACTTGGAGCATCATGAGGCGCTCGTTGATCCCAAAAGGCATTTCAGTTAGCCTGTGTAGGATGCGTTCGTGGATGGCAAAGCCAACTCCATAAATGCGGTGTCTCTCTGCAGCAGGCTTACCCTTCCAGAAGAAGGTATTGCCAGTTCTGTGAGTTGACCCTCGTCTAGGAGCCGGGACTCACTAACTGCTGCAATGTTGATGTTATACCTAGACCGCTCTTTTGCCACAAGGACCGTTCTTCTTTTAGGATGCTCATTTGTGCCAGTATCCAGAAGGATCCTGCCATTCCATGCAGCAACCATAAGAGGTTGTTTAGTTTGTTTTTGTTTGTGTTTTAAACCACATAAGGATGACCTTACTGGCTTACTGGGTGTGGTTGCCCAGTCAGGTTGGTTTTTAGGCAGGTTATGTATAGGGCACCTTTTCTAGCCCCTCCCCATGTGGGGTGAGCAGAGTGGCTTCTCGAAAGGGCTGCTCACTTG